AGAAAAAACGAAAAAAAAAACGCGAAAACGCGTTTTTTTTCGTGTTTTTTTGAACATTTAGGGTGGGAATTGTACAGAAGAAAAAACCGTCTTCGTACTATAGAACGGGACTGATCGTTCCAGGAGTCTGATCCTCTCTATGAAGTTGAACAGGTAACAGATAGAACAGACGGAGGTGGTGTAGTACCACGTGGCGCACTATCACAAATGCATGAACACAGGTTCAAATCCGAACCTGTACTCGCCCAGACCAATCAAGTCTTTTCGATCACCGATCCCTCTGCGATCGGTTCGTTGATACCTGACCCGTCTGGAAGGAAAATCCACTGACCTGCTCATTGGCTGGCCAGCACAGCTCACATACGCATTTAGAAGGCTACTACCCTTTTGATTGGCAGTCGAATACGGGGCGCATCCCAAGAATAGAACTCTTTAGCCATAAAAGTCTTATTTACAGATCATTCACCGTAATTCTGCGAGACTGGTATCATCAGCCGCGGCAAATGTTCCCCGAGCCCCTGTAGCCCTTATACTTGGAGTTTCCGACTCACCTCTGGTCGAGTAGGCGATTGTCTAGGTTGGTTAGAGGGTGAAACACGAGTAGGACTGTGAGTAGGATTCGGAGAACTGAAAGAAGTAAAGTCAATGTAAGTCCTGTTATTTAGTTAAGTCTAATCCAGATTATGAAGAAATTTCCTCGAAAACTTTCATCACACCTCAATGGCAGGTGTCGATGTTCCTGGTAATGAAAACCAAGACTTTGTATGATCTTTACGCAACAGATTTTCGAGTTTTAACAGTTTCCATCTTTCGTTCAACATGAATAATTCCTTCTTCGCCTTCTTGTGGAAGACTCACCAAAGTAAATGCTGCTTGAAACAATTTTAGGTTCCGTAGCCTTCGGCCATCCAAAAAGGCAAAGCTTCGCAGAGAAGGAAGCCAACTTCCTGTGGAGGAAAATTTTGCACAAATTAAGCAAGTTCAGGAAAAGTGTCGGTGCGGCCTCTACATCATGCAGGTTAGGATCCGTAGCAGAGGCTGATGCCCACTAATTTTGCTAACTACTTAGTTTCTTTGGCGATTCAGCAACGAAAAAGCTCAAAGATATGTAAGTCAATGTAGCGAGCTTTAGACGAGACGTCTGTCATCTAAGGGGACCATGAAACCAGTTTTTTATATCCTTAAAACATAATAATAAGTATTCGGAGTTAGTCAACTCCGTTTTTTTTTGGGCGCGCGCCTGCAATCGTAAAGCCGGTCTCAGAGCGTATATTGCTTGTATAATAACTAGCACTGGCCGGCCGTAGTAAAGTCTATGTACTATACTTCAGCACGTCTCTGGAAGCAGTTGACCGATCTCGTCCGGATGGAAGACTTGGTTAGTCTGGACGTGTACCGATCCGTGATTCGATTACAGGACCGTGCCTGTGTACCAAGGGCGATCAAGCTTTTCGTCCCTGCGAATTAAGTTAGTTGGTACTAGACATTAAATCTGAGATAATGGAAGCAATGCCAGACAACCTCCTTAAACACATTAATCAATCGCTTGAACCGAAACCAAATCTAAAGGAACTCTTGCTGTCGTTGGCCTGCTGCCGAGGAGGTAAGTCAGTCTTTATCACGCAGTAATGGGTCTTGTTTGGCTGTCCAACCCTACCTCACGTGGCCAAGAAATGATGCACCGTCGTTGAAATTTTCTGAATTCGACTGCACTTAGTTTAAGTGGGCCCCACGATTATCATTTGCCTCTCTGTTATCCTTCAATCCATTGCTTACTTTTCCGGGCTTTCCTTTTTCGGTTTTTGGTGGTCTAAGGTCCCATCGATGCAAACCGATGTGAAACCTTTGAAGGATTCATTAGAATCGATAGTATTTGCCGCCCGAGCCTCCCAGTTCACACACGACTGGAACTTACAATTTTTCTGTCGGTAATGCCGAACTTCACAGTATCTACAAAGTAACGAAGATGCTATTCATTTTCCTAAGGATATGGATTTTTCCCAAACACAATTTTTGAGAACTCAGAAAGCTCCTCGCTCTTCATGAACATTCCATTTCTGAAATCGTCTAACAGCAGCTGTCCTTTCTCTAGTCCTTCTGCTACTGAGGGTAGGGTAACGGCATTGGTTCCTCCCAGCTTATGCTCACCGCGCCTGCGTGAATACCATTCCACCTGGAAGCCACTTCTGAATACTATCCGTCGTTCTAAAGCTCAGGATAACGTAAGACCAAGTTATGCGGCATGTCCAAAGGATTTTTTTCGCTCCCAGACTGTCTGTAGTAGATTCGCAAATAACCGTTTGGCAACGCCACATCAAAAGACTGGAATCCACCGTGTTTCAAGTCTACCACCATTGGCCTCCCCTGAATATTCCCATCACTCAAACTGACTTTAGCCTGCCCATAAGTTACTGCTGGCCAGCTTGACCCCAATAAGTCGAAAACTTTTGTGCAATTCCTATAACAGAGCCGCAGAAACCAAGAGCGTGTGGATTGCGTTCTCAAAGAAACCAAGAACCTTCTGCTAATCGAATTGCGTAACGAAGAAAGGGTACCCTATAGAGAGACGTGCTAACAGGGACTATGAACTAGCCTCCTCAACTCCTTTGTATCCTTTGCAAGAGTGACTTATGGTTATAGCCACATATACTAAAAACCTATGGTAATGGTAACATGGATTAGTAAGGTAGTATAATCTCTTACCCACTTTTCTCTCTCAGTAAAACCATCTCGGTGGACGTACACGTGAAACCAAAACAAATAGAGTCATGATGCACAGTGCACATAAATTTTACACTCATGGTTCTTGAAGAAGCTGCCCAAAAATCGAAAAAGCTGCAGACTAAAGCGTCGCCGTTTCATTGAAGTGGACCAAACCTGATAATGACTTGGACATTGCGAAACTCGGATTGACTTTTTAATGTAACAGGCTTCAAATAATTCTATGAAGCCAGATCGCTCTCCCCTACTTTGAAAGAATTCATATCATCAGACATTCTTCTAACCTATGCCGTGCCGTAAGAAAACAACCAGGTTGATTAAGAAATATCGAATCGCATATGACTCATACTGATAAGAATTTGAGCTGTCTCATGACAAATGTTCAACATGATGAGCCAATAAGGCCTGCTGACGGAGAAGATTTCAAAATAAGATATTCACATAAACAATTACACAAATGAACGAAGCAGGTCTCCAAATGAAGTAGGTATACAAGAATAGGTGTCACGAAATATATGTGCAAATAAAGAGACTTGAACGATAGCAGGTCTCAATTATAACATTTCACTGGAACAACCACACATGCCCTCCTTTTCCTCGAAATAAGAAAATTTACCCAAATTTCAGCGGAAACTGCAAAACTAGATCGGCAGCTTAAAAATCAATTAATCCTTAGTTTGCCGCCTACGAAGAAAACCCATAGCAAAATAAATATCAGCTATCAAGTCATGACTTACCTTGCCATGATCTCCGTTGCTGTCCTGGAGTTCGCAGCTGATTTCCAAAGCGAACTATGAAATTAATTTGCCGTAGAACTCCAGTTATTTGCTGCAACTGCGTACAAAATTTTCGACTTTACGCTTAAATTTTTTCCGTCCGTGCACCTTTCAAGGCTTCGATGGTTTTTTGTGTTTATTTTAGGATATTTACGCCTACGTGACACCAAATAAGCTCTGTTTAACATCTCCTCTGACAATCTTACTTGCTACTTCATTTCGTCATATTACTTTCTAGGAGGACGCTCAATTTTTTAATTGAATGCTTTGGAGTTGGTGAATCTAGAGTTACGATAACGCGGTTCATTTTGCAGTTTTCAGAGCTAACTCTAGGTTCAGAAAAAACTTTGGCATTCAGGTTGCAAGCTTTCTGTAGGCCTCTAGTTCAATCATAAAGAAGAAAGCAGCCAGTTGAGATATCAAGTCAGAAAAGTTAAGCATCGAAGGGCTATGCTGGGTGTAGCATTGCTCCAAAATTCAGCGAATTGTTAGCGATGAAATGAAGTCTCCCTCCTAGACCGAATCCATTTTCTCGTTTTTTTTTATGCTTGCAAACCGGGGATATTTGATGTTGATGGTTTTAAGTCACTTTCCTCGGTTAACATAATTTTAGTTTTACAGACTGTTTGATCATTGACCGTTTAACTATGTACAATAGTCAAAGTGCATATGAATCACTTGCTGATGTATGCGTCAATTCGGCGATGGCAAACATCCGAACGATGACAGTGGATCAGCTCAACGATCTTCTCTACAATGAATCACGTCTCGATGCTTTGATTGACAATCTTCCTCAGGTACGATCCCGACCTATTTTTGTGAGCATATGAGCCAAAATCTTAACAAGGTTTATGAACATTTTTCATTGGGTGAGTAGGAAGGTTGTTCTCAAGTATCTGAAGGATGCAAAGCACTTCGTTACAAACGTCTCTCGCAGCTTCATTGAATTTTTAAAATATGCAGGCCAGGCATGGTGGAAAGTAAAAGGTGAACTTATCACCGCTGCATAATTAGAAAAACCACCATTTAGCCAGCAGTAGGCCCATGGCATGTTACGTCCGAAGTAGTTGTGAAGCAGAACTTTTCTCTCAGTCATTTTTCAGAACATAGACGAATAATAAATGTCTTGAGGATTGTGCGTCCGCTCATTTGAGATTTTTGAAACCCCGTCAATGCCTATTTTATAGTCATATATGAAAAATATGTCTCTTGGGGAGGAATCTCCTTCGGAAAATAAAGTTTTTTCTTTGAAGATCCGATCTCTCCCAACTGAACGCGAAGCAGGACTTGCGCAGAATAAATCCTTGGCCGAGTGGAATCTAGCACAGGAACCGAAGCTCAATCAACTACGAACGCAGGTTTGTGTTTGTCTCGAAAATTTTGAAACTGAGAAAGGTGTTTCTACTGTTATTTCTGCTCTGATTTCCCACGTACTGGGAATAGAATGCCTCTTACAGAGGCAAGATTCTTCTTATCGCACGATCAAGCAGATGTCTTGGATTGTTCACATTGTTAGGACATCGGCCGTTTCCTGCGGGAGCGATATCTCTCTCATCACATGGTCCCCATTCTTCTTGGAGAATGTCTTTTTGTTGTAAAGTGCGCAGAAAAAGTCAAACATACATTTTATTCCCACCCCTGAGCAGTCACATACGATCGGATCTTAATCTTTGAGTTTTGGCTTCTGCCCCCCTCATGTTTTAGGGTGATAGAAGCTATTGCGAACAGTTCCCAACCCTCATAGTGCCGAAGAAAAAAAAGTATAGCAGCATGGCACGCCTCGATCTGGTTACCCTCAACAGTGGGAGGTGGTTCCGTTACCGTTTGTATGGTCTGCTTATCAAGGTCGTATTCTTGATCGAGTCTACCAAATCTTTTCGCAAGTAGGGTAAACTCTACTAGGCGTGGGCGAAGTTCCTGAGTTGTACGTCCAGTTTTGAAAATGGACGACAAGCGGATGCCTCCCATCGAGCTAGATCTCTGCATAATTTTGTTTTTAATCTATCTACTCGTCTTCACCTTCACGAGCCGTCCTGGAGCAAGTCTTTTTTATTTTGCACTGCTATGTATCTCTATCCGTGACTCTATCATACATCATGTAAAGTAGGTGTTCATAGTAGAACAAACAATTAACAAAACCTAGAAGTTATGAACTAAATGTGGTTGACAGCTCCCCAATGTTCAGGTGAAAGCTCTTCATGCTCAAGCGGTTACCCTGCGCTCGGAAGTGGAGTCGTTGAAAGCTAAACTAGGTGAAAAATAAAGTTTTGGAAGGTAACAACAGTAGTTTTTAATTTCAATTGTTTTTTAATATGCCTTTATTCAGATGAGGTCTCATCTTCCAAATCACTTGATACGACAAGCAATTTGCTTCAAGTTGCAGCTCAGGAAGCGGATGATGACGCTGAGGTGGGTCGCTTTTGACTTGGATCGTCCTCTCCTTCTATATTACTGTTTTGTTTCATTCAGAACACAACTAAGGCTTTTCTTGCTGGAACGATTCCTGCCGAACAGTTCTTAAAGGATCTCTTAGAGAAAAAGACATTAGCTCATATACGGTTAGTGGGAGTTTTCGCTTATATAATTCTTGTTTGTCACTGTCGTCTGTCTTTTTTTAGGAAAATTAAATCAGATCGTTTGATCACGATATTGAGAGATCAACAATATGCTCAAGCTGCGCCTCCATTACCTCCTCGCACTGCACCTTATCCAGATGTCCCAGCAGGACCCAGCAGACGTTCTTTTTATTGAATGCGTTTTAAATATTTTCTTTCTTAATCACAATATTGATTCCACCAGTTAGTGATTCTCGCCACTTATAAATTATGATGCTATGGCCAATCTTGTCGTACATCACATTATGCTGTTTTATGTTCTTTCGCTACCAACTTTTTTCACTGTGGGCGATTTCCTGAAATCGGGTGTGTTCTACAGAACAGTTAATTTGAGTGCAACAGCATTGTGATCTGATGGAACTTTGGAATGATTACCACGCTTTCAACGCATAAAACCTTTTTATACTTGTTTTTATTGCTTACGAATTACAGTTGCACGGCCTGTACTTGTTGTATGTTTACGAGTGGTCTTGATCAGTCAAGTAGGTTGTGTTTGGATCGGCTGGGCTATTCATACGTTAACAATCGATCAGTCTCTTGACGCTACGGCGCAGGACTATACGTTCATCGTTGAACATGAAGACCTTTATCGTTAGGAAGATCATCTCTATATAAGTGACGCAAATAGATGTTACCACACTGGGGTACCGTACTTGACCAAGTTCTTTGTGCGAGTAAATTCCTTTGCTTGTTTGAACTTTAGTCCTGCAGCTGCATCGTTACTCAGTGAGACGTCTTAATGCAAGAGGCTGCATGTTTCAGATGTTGTCTAGGTGTCGCCCTTTGTACAGGAGTGTATGTCGTCAGTTTGCTACCCTTCGAGAAATGGCAGGTCCACAGGACGCTGAAATGTTATACGAACCCAAATTCCCTGATACCAGGGAATATCCTGAGTGAGTTTCTAACCCGGTTTTCACAACCAAGACTAGCTACAATTTGTTTGGTCTTTTGCAGGTACGACTTGTTAAATGTACGGTTACAAGGATACGATTTCACCTATTTGGAAAAGTTTCAAGCATATGTTGATAGGATGGCTCGAAGGTTTAATTTCAAGGTGGTCGATAGGTGGGATTTTCTTCAGTTTCTTTTTTCCCATGTTTTGTTGTTGTCTTCTACATTTTAAGGTTCAATGGGTGAATAGGATAGGGCTATTCCATAGGTAATTTCTGACAGAGCTCTTGAGTATAGGTTCGGCTCCAGATTATTGCGTTTTCTCGATATTGAAATGAACAGTTTGAAATCCATAAAGTTGGTCAGGACTTTTCTCCTTGCCTGAAGTTGGGTATACTCAATATAGAAAGTGAAAGTGTTCGAAGTGGCTGCCTTCGGAGTCTGCATTATCATAATGTCGACTTCGCTCACCGGCTTAAAGGTGAAATTATATGTATTTATTAATTGCCGGTGAGGCGTGGGCAATGTAAAACGCTTGCCGGCGGTGTTTCAATGCAATTCTGGAGGTAGCTTGTTACCTTGCCTAGCTTTACTTTCCCATCTTCTGAATATGAGATCCTGCGTGAAGTAGTGGCAAAGGTGCTTTTTATGATCAAGGTCACGTAAATAAGGAGATGCTTTGAGTGATGGGACGTACTATCACCGATTGTCATGCAAAATACAATTTAGCAGATTTTTTCGATTTTTTCCTGTAATGATTTGCTCATTTTCGTTGCAGCTATGCTGTAGCCGCGCAGACACAACGCGTGGTAGTATACAAACCCAATAGCACTGCTATTGACACTGAAGTGAATTTATCTCTTTACGATCGGTATGTTTCTATGTTTCTGGGATCTTACGCTTCATTGATAGATTTTATTGATACGGTTGATCGTTCTTCATCAATTGCTCTTATTATCTTTCAGTGTTGTCCGGCTAAGTAATGTACCTGCTCCACAACTTCAACTTTTCATCACACTTATCCAAACTCATGTACCTGTTGGAGTCACAGTAAGTGCATAATGAATGAGATAGTTAATGTTGCTCTTAAACTTTTGATGAACCTTTGAGTAAGCTGCATTAGTTGCTCTGGTTTCCGACTATCCTACCTTTTTCCTTCATTCTTACATGCTAGTGGTGTCGGTTTCTTGTTCAATCTCAATTTCTCGTCCGATTTCTTATTCTGTCCCTCCCTGCCCCGCATTTATGGTGTGAAATTGAATTGAGTTCCATAACCTAATCGCGCAGAGCTAACCTCACAGGAAATCATACGCTGTATTCCCTTCTGAGACTCACTGATTGCTTTGAAATACTGTGGTGGTGCGTGGCGGTGGCGAATTAGCAGCATTTGATATAACCCCACCCCAAAATTCTTCGGAAGAGTGTAATATTTGGCCTCCCGGAGCCCACAAGTTAGAACCCTCCTTGATAATCTTCTAGTCTATTCATGGTTCTTTCAAAAGTTTTCTAAATTTTAAACATCATTTTATGAACTAAACGATAGGTTCTGGTCAATTCGCTAGTTATAGGTCACTTTCAAGCAACACGAGAAGGCGGATGAAGATTATCGATATATCCCTGATATACTTCTGAAGCAGAAGCAAGAAGAGCTCAAATCCCTCGATGATCCCATAGTTAGAAGGAATCTCGGTTGGGAATAACTAGTTGTATACTGAATAGGATAACAGAATCTTAGTAGTAGATAGTTTAGAGCATTTTAATTTGATGATTTACCGAATAGGAACACCTATTATTGCCTGGAAAATCAATTTGTTATGTTTCGTTATGATAAAACATGTCGACTATGGATCACAATTTTGTTTTCAACGGTATGTCCGTTGATATCTCTGATGAAATGACATACTATATTTTGTTCTGATTGCCTTATAACCAAATTTTAGTACATACAAACAACCGTGAGAGCTATTTCTTATTATATTGTTTGGTTTCTCTGTCATGATGCGATAGAACGTTCAGATTAGTCGTTTCAATCGTCTCATCTTATCGTCGGTTCGCCGTTGCACATTTGCAGGAATGTCCACGGAGGCTGTAGAGAGAGTTGTTCCGTACGAACTCGTGGACATCGGAGCAAATCTTGGGCATCCGCTGTTCAAAAATGATCTCAATGACGTATTGATACGTGCCCGACAGTCAGGTTTGCGACAAGCTTAGTATTGAGCTACGGAGGTGACATCTTTGTCGAAATGTTCAGTTACTTCTATCGCGTTCGATGTATGAGAGCTTGTGGCCTATTAATTGGGAATGCGTTATGAATGATAACTGTTTTGGTAATATCGGGCAGTTAAGACTTTTTACTCTCAGCAGAGGTACATGCTCTGAGGTTTCTAGCAGGTCGCTGTATTCCGCATTTTCCTTTCGTCCGTTAATATACCCACCTTTGTCGGTTCCCTAATTTGTTTAAGTGCAGTTTATATCGGCTTACAGTTGAATTCAGAGCTAGGATTTCAGGTGGTTTGTAAGGAATATATTGTAACTGTAATAGTCGGCTCATCATATACGGTAATTTCGAAGTCTATCAGGAAATCCTGAGCCACTGCCTTCTGTAGGGTATAGCTAATCAGTAATTGTGAGCGTTAGAACCTAGGATTTAGAGAGTGCGTGCTAGAGATACGCGTTAACTAGGCATGCAATAAGTACCGTTTGTTAATTTGCCTCAACTGAATGTTACTTGTTGCAGGCCTACGAGCTCTTTCATCCATAGGTGAAGTTTTTACAATCCTAACAATAATTTTGCAGGAATATCTAAGCTGATGATAACGGGTACATGTGAGAAAATCAGCAAGGAAGCTATGGAGCTGGCTGAAACAATGCCTGGATTCCTCTATTTCACTGCCGGTAATTTCTGTTAGAGCACATCATCTTCTTTTTCCAATCCTGATCTTTTCCAGGGGTACACCCGCACGATGCAAAAGACTTTGATACTAAGACCCTTGATACTTTGAGGTCTCTTCAGGTTCGTAAAGTTCTACTTACACGTGAGCTTCTTTAGAAAACTATACTTATGTTATAGGCCCACGCACAATGTGTTGCTGTAGGAGAGTGTGGACTAGACTTTAACCGAAACTTTTCTCCCCCTGACACTCAGAAAGAAGTGTTCGCGAAACAGGTGAGAATTACTTCTATCAATACTTTCCCTGTAACAGCTCTGAAAATTTGTTTTCTGGGTGGAATTGGCTTGCGAATTACAAAAACCTCTATTTATCCATGAACGTGAAGCCCACGAGGACATGATACGAATTCTGAGCAACGCTGGAGAAAGGTTGTTTCTTGTGTAGTGACTTTCAGTCCAATGCCCACTTTTTCTTTAGTTATTTCAAGTAGGCTGCCACCAGCTGTCATTCATTGCTTCACTGGAACTGAAGATGAGGCGAAGAAGTATATCGAAATGGGTTTTTACATTGGATTAACAGGTTTGCAATTATTGTCCCACTCAGCGCCCATTCGAATATAATGCTGTTAATGCTGCTTTGTTTTAAAACTATTTCTAAATTTCATCATTAAATCACGTTCCTCATGTGTAGGGTTTCTGTGGAAAGACCGCCTGACAAATGGTGTGCAAGTGGCTCTACGCAACGGCTCCATTCCTCTTGATCGACTTCTCATAGAAACTGATGCACCATTCATGTATCCGAAAATTAGCGATAAAAAATTACCAGCAGATGTGAAGGAGGCGTTCACTGAGCCGACAAAACTATTACACAAAGTGAGTAATATGGTAGTATCAAAGTTTCGAATACTTAATCATATTTAATTTATTTGATGGGTGCATTTGTGCTAGAGTTCCTTCAACTTCGTTAATTCTTACACACAGGTATTTCTCGATTCAGTTCCTAAGATGATGGTTTCAGTTCACGTCTTTCAATCGCAATGAGCCATGCGCCTTGGCAGCTGTTTGTGAAATGATTGCGGCCTTCATGGGGAGGGATCCAAAAGAGGTAAGCGTTGCCGTGGTCTCAGTTCCCATTGGAATTCACACATTCGTGTTGCATATGAGTCAGCATCCAAAACGCTAAATGTCGCAATATCTGGGGAGGAGGTGGTGCAGTGGCAAGTGGCTCACTATCACACACGTTCGGTCACAGGTTCAAATCTCCAGTCGATATCCACCTAGGCCGACCAATCCCTTCATCCTCCGGGGTCGGTAAATTGGTACATCACTACGATTTGAAGTCGAACCCTCAAACAGGATTGGTAGTTAGGAAAAGTTAGTAGAACAGGTGGAAAGAGAAGAAACCCTTACAGTTAGTACTGAAGTCTGCGATATATGGCGTGTTCGCCTCTGAAATATTTCTTCACTATAGTCTGGACTATTTCAGGTTGCTGAGGTTACTACAGCAAATGCGAAAAGGGTTTATGGTCTCCATTAGGAAAATTCTTCGAAAGTGCGGTAACAAATGATTGGGATGATTATGTGATAATCTTTATGCTGTTGTTCTGTCTTGTGCCTTATAAATTCGTTCTAATCACTAGTCGTACAATGCCAAAGTTATGTGTCTTACTAGTTTACCGCGTTGGTATTTGAAAAGCAGTTTCTTCGGATTTGACATTATTATATTTTATAAAATATATTCAAAACTCTAGACATTCTAATGAACATGTTAGTGGAAGAGTCTATGAACGGTGCTCGCCAGCGCAATTTGCTACGATACATGCTCAACTCGAAGGTAAGTCCTGGTACAAACAGGTGATTCTGTGGGAGCGGTTTTTTACTGAATTTTACTGTCCAGGTATTCAAATTCGGTGATTTCGAACTGAAAAGTGGAATGAGGTCGCCAATTTACATAGATTTACGAGAGTGTTTTGGGTATTCAGACATCATGGTAAGCATTTTTACTTCATGGTCGAAATTTTGCTCCTCGTGGCCCTGTGACCTTAATTATTCTGATCGTCTCTCTCTCTAGCTTCAATATCTCTTACTTCCTAAACATACCTACGTATCCCTGTCTAGAATACGAAATTTCTGTTTTGTTCACCTACTCAATTCTTGTTTCATGGTTCCTTTGGGATAGTTTGGCCGAGAAAACTACCATGGCAGTCAGTCTTTCAAAAGTTCTTATCAACAGAGGCTCTACCCACTTAGGATCTCGCATCGGATGGTCTCAAATCCTTAATAGAGAAAGCGGATATATTAGTGGATGGGATCGTTGGAGTACCATATGCTGCATTACCTTATGCAACGGTGAGTTGTGAAATACAAGGTTTTACACTTCTTTCTGCGTCTACCTTTCTTCTGTACTCGTACAATTGTAGTTGGTGTCGTGCCGTCTTAGAAAACCGCTCTTAATTGTTCGCAAGGAGGCGAAGGATCACGGTACCAAGAAAATGATCGAAGGCCTTTATCAGAAAGGTAATCGAGTGGTTATCATCGAAGATGTAGTTACAACTGGAGGGAGTGTAAAAGAAGTGAGTTCAGTAGAAAAAGAAATGATAATCATATAAACTTTTTTTTTTTGCTGTTGTAGGTGGTGAAAACATTACGTGGTGTGGGTCTTGTGGTAGAAGATGTGTTCTGTTTGCTCAATAGGGAGCAGGGCGGTCCCAAGAAGCTCGAAGAAGAAGGAATTACTCTTCACAGGTTCTTCCATACTTGTTGATTATTTTCCATGCCAGTATTTCTGTGCCTTATCTAGCCGTGACATGGCAGGAGAGGTTGAGAGCGTAAAAGTGATGGTGTTGTATAGTTCGGCCTGCCTTAATCCCTCAAACAGATTGAAATTTCTGTCATGTAGTAGGTAGGATCATTACAGTCGCCTTTAAAATTGTCATCAAGTTTTAATAATGACGGTAGTCAGCTAGTTAGAGCTGTCCAGACGACCGATTCACGGGAAATCTCAGTTTCAAAAGTATGGGCAATACACGAAGTCATGATTGTTACAGCCTTTTCAACATGGAAACTGTTCTCTCCTTTTTGCTCTCCGTAGATGCCATCGACAAAGAGACTTCATTGGGAATCATCGAGGTGAGCTTACAGCGATGATTTCTCGAAAAAAGTTTCCTGAACGTATTAACAATCAGGCACTGAACCTTCCCTTCAAAGAAGTGAAGCGTTTTGAAATCTCTCCCGAAATGGAAAATTTGGCGTCTTTCCCTATGTCCAATTTGGTAAGTCAGCCTTAATTTTCTATTATAGTAGCTTATACTTCTTGCTTATTTTGAAAAGATTCGTAATTTAGGGTCGCCTTCCACTAGAAGAACGTGCAAAGGAAGCTATGTGCTCTATGAACAAGAGGATTTTCTCTCTTATGTTAAAGAAAAACTCGAATCTCTGTCTAGCTGTTGATTACACTGAAGCGGAAAAGATCCTCGAAGTAAGTTTAGAAAGACAGAAGTCTTCATCAGCGACTGTAAATCTTCTTCATTTGAAGCTTGTTGACAAAGCCGGTCCTTTTGTCGTAGCTGTCAAAGTTCATGCTGATGCTATAGTGGACTTTTCGAAAGAGTTCACAACACGGCTGGTCCGACTGGCAAATGACCATGACTTTGTGATTTTCGAGGACAGGTGCGTATATTAGCCTCCGTTCATGAAAATTAGCAGTCATTCAGTTGTTATTTCAGGAAGTTCGGTGATACTGGGAATACTAACCTCCTACAACTGAAAGGCGCTCTTCGTGTGGCCGAATGGGCTGACGTTGTTACTGTTCATATAGTCCAAGGGTGTGACTCGATAGGATCGGTGTTTCGTCAGGTACATGAGGGTTGAAATAGCGCATTCGTTCATAATCTGAACGAACGAACTTGAAAAATTGTCTGGAGGCAATCACAGTGCTGTATTAAAGAAGTCAATGGAAAGTAAAAGTGGGGAACCCTAATAAGCAACTTCAGTATTTTTTCCATTCCTCTGGGGTCGGTTGATTGGATATACAATGACTTACGGTGGGTAGCCGAAATACAGGTCAGTCCCTTTATCATCACCCTTCTGGAAGGATAAGGACACTGACCTGTATTTCGGGCCACCCACCGGAAGTCGTTGTATAGGCCACATGCGCATTCAATCGGCGTTTACGATTTTGAATGCATGCCGTATTAGGGAGGTCCAAGAGGAGGGTTCGGTCACCGACGTTATTCTTTAACATTGTTTGTGTTTGTGGGTCCTATGCTAAACAACGGAGTCCCTCAGCTNTATACGGACTTGACCCGGCTGAAAGGTTGATTAGCTGGTTCCCGCATTCAAACTTAGTATTTGATGGCAGCTAGACTGCCTGGGATCAAACCGAACGTTCAACTCGCCTGTACTTGCATATCAATTCCTGGTTATGGGAAGCAGCATGAGAAAGTGATCGTTTCGGCAAAGGTTGCCATTTGATGCTATCTGGAAAAGTATTCTGAAATCGCAAGTAATTTATTACATACTAGTTTTCTCTTTGCTCTCAGGTTATACTCGATCCCGCCTACCGCCTTAGTGGGGTGCTTCTTATTGCCCAACTGAGCACAAAAGGTTCGCTCACAGCTCTTCCCGGCTACACGGAAGGTATGTAACTGAATCATATTTTGTAAACAGTGTTCCACTTGATAAAAGTCTGCAGCTGCTGCGGAAATGGGTGAAGCGAATCGTGATGTCGTCTGCGGTTTCATATGTCAGGCTCGTGTTTCGCCCCATCCAGACATGCTTCATTGGACTCCAGGTAAGAGGATTCACTTCTTCATGTGTTATTGCAATCTTTATTTCTGCGGTTCATTAGAACACTCTGTTTTAGGGGTGAACTTGGACTCAACTTCTGACAACAAGGGGCAACAATGGAGAGGCGTAGACGAGGTAGTTCTTTGTTCCGTTTATATACTAATGAAGTGGAGAAGCAGCTGTCGAGCTAATTTTGTTAGCTGATTTTGTTATCCTGGAGGTCTGATCTAGTGTTTCCCCTGCCGTTTTGTAGGCCCCTGATTAAGGCAACCTTAACGCCGCCTCCTGAACATTAGTGCGGTACTAATCACGAAGACTGCTTGTGATTACGACCTTTAGGCCGTAGCTACAATCTCGGCGTACTCCCCTGATCTAGCAGTTTTCTTAGTATTATTGCGGTTTTACATAATACAGTGTTGAATCCACGCTTTAGGCCATTGGGCGTCAACAGAACGATATCGTAATAGTTGGACGAGGAGTGACCGCAAGTGCCAACCCCATACAAGAGCTAACCCGATATCGGGAACAGGCTTGGTCTGCGCTGGTTCTGAAGAATTAGTTCTAAGATTATTCATTTGTTTTCTGCTTACTCGAGCCTTTGATGATGACAGATTTACTCCTCCTTACTGTTGTGATCTACTTTTCCGGTATTGGCTGCCACTTGTTTGTTTCATGTTGCAATAGTTTGTTTCACTTGTTAGGTTCTAATATGGAAACCTATCCTGTTATGTTTCATAGTTTTATCTGGGTTGTTTGAGCTTATCGTGCTTCATCATTTATTATGGAGATTATAGGGCTACGCGATTGAAGTCATTTTTGTTTGTTTCTCGTTTCAGTATCTGTGGTAACGCCTTTCACGAGTTCTTCTCCACCATTGCCGATTCGTTGGCTCAGAACTATGGAGGTAGTTACTTTCAACCTATAATCAAACATTGGTTGGATAGCATGTTCATATCGAGGCAATCTCCCCATGCTGAAGAAGTAGAAGGATAAAGGACTTACCGGGAAATTTCTCAGGGAGCGATGATATCGTTCCTCATTGAATCCTAAGGAGAAGTGGCGTCGCCAATTCCCCACAGACTGATATCCGTTACCATGCTCATTGTCAAAACCGAGGTTCGGTCGATTTCTCCAATTCACTCGATGACTTGACCAATCATGGTTGTTGTGAATTTGCGAATCCGTTCCCGTTCCATTTGATCTCCAGTCGAGTCTCTGCTGAGAGCTCCCTTGGTGTGAAGAGCTAAAAATCACTTTTCACTCAATCATATGGTAGTTCACGGTAAATTGATTCCGTACTATGATTGTGCCTCATTGGAAGTGTACGAGTAACGACTTTCTCTCCAGTTTATTCGGCGAGCCGACCAGCTGCTCTTATAACGATAGTTACGGTGACGTTCTTGAGCTGATCTCCGCCGAAGACCTTGCTCGAAGCTTTTGTTGCTGAAAAATTATAAAGAGAAAGCACGTTCTACAACTCGATCAACTAGATATTACTCCAAGTTATTCCTGTACAACTTTTGCATACGAAGATGTACAAATCCCATCAATATAATCGATTAAACCGATTTTCCTTACTGATGGCTCTCTGAAGCTGACACAGGATCCTTTTTGCATTGAAGTGGTGCTTCATCAGAAATGGGAACATTTTCTCCAACGTTGTCCTTGTTGTCCATTTGACGATCTGGCCAGTCACTCCTATTGAAATTGAACATTTCTTCGGAAATTAAAGAAGGATTCTATAGTTCTAGTATGGTGTCAAAAGTACTGAAAATTAGGTCTCCTGGTCGGGAACTCATTGAAACCCACTGCAACTGTGAATTGCTTTCACTCGAAGCTGCTTCAATGTTAGACGTGGAAGCTGAGGTGCTGCTATTTAGTGTCGTAAGTTTAGAACAGGTTTCTTGTGGCACGGGATCCTCGGGGATTACCTCTGCCTAAGTATCAAAGAGATACTACGAAGTTACCAAGCAATTGCATAAGTACTAATCGCGATATAAACGCTTACCTTTTCTACCGATGAACTCTTAGAGGTCTTGGGGCTAGCAGTACCTTCATTCTCCAGCGATTTGTTGCTAAATCAAAAATATGATAAAATATGATCTGTTTTTGAGATCATGGCTGCTGACTCACTCTACTTTCCTTTAGATTTTTGTTTTCAAACATGAGCACAAGAAACGGCAGCGCNTCGAAGAATATTTGAGCACTGAGAAACGCCTACCACAGGCGTTAGTGATATTAAGTGAAATGTTCGTTAAACCAGTTGCAACTGCTGGCGACAAAACAGTAAGAT